CCTGCTTTAAGGTTTTCTAAAGAAAAGCTAATAGATGATGAAACTAAATTATCACAGTTATGCATATTTTCAAAAATCTTTAACACTTAGAAGTTGATAGTAGGGCATAAATAATACTGAGAAGATTCAAAATACCAGCTTTACAGAAAAACCAGACTATAAAGGCAAGGCCTTTGCCTTATACCTCTCATATTCTTTTATTCAATCATTAATTCAACAGTTACTGAATACCTAGTATATGTTGGTGAATTGATATTTCATCAAAGATAGACTTTTTAAAAAGTCTGTTGCTATGCTTTAGTTATTCTTGTCTGAGCTTTTCCTTATTACTCACTATAAAAAAAAAACAACTCCTTTGCTAGACCAAGTTCATTAGGCATGTGTTCTATTCCCATACAACTGCAGACAACAATGTCACTATGCTTTTTGCTACTGTATAACAAGGATGCCCCATCCTTCAGCTTTCTGTAACAGGGATCTCAGTTCTTTTCCCTCTCATCAGAGTACAGTGTCATCAGAGTACAGATTTCTACTAACAATCTGTTCATGGCAATTTAGGCTTTCTTTAATTAATATGCTCCTCAAAAATCCTTCCAGCTTTTGCCTATTACCTGGTTCCAAAGCCACACTCCTATTTTTTAGTATTTGTTATGGAAGCACCCAATTGCAAGATATCAGAATCTGTTATGAAGTAACATCGTCAATATTTGCAGAAGATGACTGCCTACTCATAATATTCAAGTGAATCTATAAACTATTCCAAAAGTTGCTGGTTATAAGATCAATATACAAAAATCAATAGCAGCCCCTTGTTCTAGCTACAACCCATGTTAAAATGTAATAATAGACACATCTATTATGGTATTTAACTTATTATATTGTAATTATTTGCTTTACCTATGTCTCCTCCATAGGTGCAAAGTTCCTTAAGGGAAGAGAGTATCTGATTTATATTTGTAACCCCAATATCTAGCATACACCCATGTGTTCAATGAACATTTATTGAATGAATTATCAATCATCACTGGATCCTTAGTATCATTCACAGATACTTCCCCTTTAGAAAAGAATTAAAATTTAGTTGCACATTTTAAAAACTATTATAGTAATTCCAGATTTTTAGTCATCAAAGCGAAAAGTCCCAGGCCCAAATGAGGAAATGCCATTCTTCACTTTTCACTTGTTTAGACTAGTAAAGATTTAAATGTTTGGTAATACACAGTGTTGTCAAGGGTAAAGGTGAACTCACCGGTGTATTCTTTTAACTGCTGACTGACTGAAGTAAAAGATGGCATCTCCCTCTTCAGAGAACAATCTAATAATATCTAATACAATTTAACATGCCTCAACTAAGCGAGTCTGTATCTTGGAATTTATTCTACAGATATTTACAAATGTTTGCAAAGCTTATATACAAGATTATGTACATAGCACTGTTAGCAATAGAAGAATGGAACTTAGATTCATCAATAGAGAATTATTTAAATAAATTATGGCACATCCATATAATGAAATCTTATGCAGTTGTTAGAATAGCATATAATTGCACATAGACTGATCTCTAAGATGTATTAAGTGGAAAAAGCAGAGTGTCCCCATGTTTATTACTTCAGTAGAAATATTTGGGAAGGATACCAGGACAGTATTGTCTCTGAGTACAGGGACTGAGCACCTCAAAGGACAACCTAATATTCTCTACATATCCCTTTGTATTCTATGTATTTATTTATTGACATTAAAACTGAAATATTTTGTCCATAAAATCCTTCATTCATTCTTTATTTACTAAAAGATAAGTTTTTAAAAATGAGACTGACATCACCATTTCTAGAACTTCTCAATTACAGGGTATTTCTCCGTCTTTTGTCTACTGTTAGGAATAATTCTGTACCTCAGGTTCTTAAATAGTACTTTAAAGACTAATGGGTGGCACAAATATTTTATAGAACATATTTTACTTAATTTTTTATTAAATGTTGTCTATTATTCAGAGACTTGGGCACTAAGCCCTAGGTAAGTGTCCAGGAAATTATATTGTAGTGATCGAAGTGAATGGCTGGCAAGAACTTGGCAGGTATTTTGCAACCAAGAGCTGCATAGAAATTAATGGTTGCGTTCAAATATGATGACTGAACACAGAACCAAAATGACTCAATAGCATGATTTTTAAAAATTAATATATTTTAGGTAGCAATAAGCTGCTACTGTATAAATCAATCTCTAACAAATATTGCACACTTGAAAAATCTTAATAGCCTTTTATATTGTTTTACTATTATGGAGACAAAACTTTCTGACTGGAATGAAGAAATGCTGATTATGTAAAATAAGAACATTTTTTCTTTTTCAAAAAATCTAATTTTGGGGCACCTGGGTGGCTCAGTCATTAAGCGTCTGCCTTCGGCTCAGGTCATGATCTCAGGGTCCTGGGATTGAGCCCTACATCGGGCTCCCTGCTCAGCGGGAGGCCTGCTTCTCCCTCTCCCACTCCCCCTGCTTGTGTTCCCTCTCTTGCTGTCTCTCTCTACCAAATAAATAAAATCTTTAAAAAAAAAGTTTAATTTTATTATTAATTTTTTTGTTGAAGTACAGCTGACACACAATGTTACATTAGTTTCAGGTGTACAACATATTAATTCAACAATTCTATACCTTTATGCTACGTTTACCACAAGTGTGGCTACAATCTCTCATCAAATAACCCTATTATAATACCATTGACTATAATCCCTATGCTCTACCTTTCACCGCTGTGATTAATGCATTCCATAACTGGAAGCCTGTACCTCCCACTCCCCTTCACTCATTTTACTCCCCCTCCCCCCACCATCATCTCTTCTGGCAACCACCAGTTTGTTCTCTTAAAAAAAAAGAATTTTTCGGCATTGCTGCAACTTCTGTCCTTATTGTGAATTAATTGAGGGCTCTTTCAAGTTTAGAAATTTGAAAATTTATTAAAAGAAAAAAACCCACAAATGTAGGCTTAATTTACTATTTAAAACTTTATTCTAAAAAGATACAAAACTCCTATTTTACTGTTTATGGCTATTAAATGAAGCATGTAAGAAAGCTTCAGAGCACAGTTATAAAAACACGGGCTTTTCAGTCATACCAGAATTCAAATCCTAGTTCTTTCACTCGCTGTGTGATAATCGGAAAGGTACTTCACCCCTGTGAGCCTTATTTTTTAAAGTATAAGATGAGAATAATATGGATTACATGTAACATTTTACAATGTTGTTATATTAATGGAAAAACCATGTATAAAACCCTTAGCACAGGGCACCTGGGGGGTTCAGTTGGTTAAGCGTCTGCCGTCAGCTCAGGCCATGATCTCAGGGTCCTGGGATCGAGCCCGAGATGGGCTCCCTGCTCAGTGGGGAGCCTGTTTCTCCCTGTCCCTCTGCCCACTTGTGCTCTTTCTCAAATAAATAATAAGTAAAATCTAAAAAGTAAAACACTTAGCACAATACTGACCCATAGTAAGATTTTTAGGGCAGCTCTCACTATTATCATTAGTCTTTAATTATCCAGCAGAGATGGGGAATAAGATGTACTACACATCTCTTTTGAGTTTTCCAGATAGAGCTTCATTTATTAGACAAATGCTTCTGTACATACCAAATTTAAAACACCACCATTTTGCAGTCCTGGGGCAGAGTAACACATTTCATTGCTACCTTAAGAGATGTCAATGAATATAAAATAATTTTATTCGTTCCTAGAAATAATAATTCTGTCTAAATTATCACATTTTATAGTCTCAATATGCTGAGTGTAGGCATAGTAAATTTGGAATATTGTATTCAGTTGCGAGTACAGTTGAAGAGACAATGCCAGTATGATAGGTATGACAAAAGAACAACCAGGAGAGTGAGGAACATGAAAACTACAACACGTAAAAAACAGTTTAAAAACCTGTCTCTATTTCGTTTAGAGAAGATTTGAGGTAATAAAATATTTTCAAATATTTTAAGAGTGTCACGTGATGAAGTACATAAGTTAATTCTGTATTACATCAGAGAATAAAATTAGAAACAACAAATCTGTTGAATTACTTAAACATTAATATAAAGAACTTTCTGGGGCACCTGGGTGGCTCAGTCGGTTAAGTGCCTGCCTTTGGCTCAGGCCGTGATCCCGGGGTGCTGGGATCGAGCCCCGCCACGGGCTCCTGCCTCAGCAGGGGGTCTGCTGCTCCCTCTCCCTCTGCTGCTCCCTCTCCCTCTGCTTCTCCTTCTCCCTCTGCTGCTCCCTCTGCCTGTGCTTGCTCTCTCTCTAATAAATAAAATCTTTAAAAGAAATGAACTTTCTAATAAATCACAGTACTTTCAATGACAATGCATAGTTTTGTGAAGTAGTGAGCCTTTTAAATTATATAATATGTATTCAAATTGTGTTTGATACTGTCAACAATGATGGAAAAGTGATTTATGGCTAGTTGGGCTCTTTGACTACGTAACTGCCAAGGCTTATTTCAATTCCAGATTCTATGATCTAAGCTAAACAGTAAGGCAAATCAGATTATGTACATATAATTAAATCAGAACTATTGACACTTAAACATGAAAAAAATATGCTTTATCTGTTACTTTTCTTTCAATAAGAAGAAAATAATAATAAAAATGTATGATACATGTACAGTGGACTTATTGGTACATCAACTTCTCAAATTAATCACTATAATAATCCCACTATAAACACAGATTTAAAAAAATCAATTGGCATTAATTTTAACCTTTTTAAAAAGAAATGGAGGAAAATGCACTGTGAACATTTTTAAATTACCAGAGTTATATTTTCAGATATACTTGCTTCATTTATTTCAAGTTCAAATCAACATTTGAATTCGAATTAAAACTTAAGGTATTTCCTTTCTAATTTACCTTAACTCTTACAGAAAGTTATATATTTAATATCAGAATAGGTAAACCCATGAAGTCATTATGCACAATAGAAAACTCTGATCAGGAAGAACAAAATGTGTATGCTATACTAACCAATTAGAAGAACTGTTCCAACAGCCAAACCTCCACCTGGAAATGAAACAAAACAAAGAAGAAAATTAATCTACCCTTTTATACACATTAACTTTAGCATAAAAGTTAAGCTTTATCAAGGACAGCAACTTGAATAACTTTAAAATTGCAGACGAGAACAACATTTTAATTACCTTTGCAATACTTTGCTTAAGGTGCTATTATGAAATAATTACATATTATATGTAATTATACACTACACATTACAATTACTTTCATAATATACTGTACTATACTCCCTTCTCCTGTGATAGGACCATGCAGCATTCAACATAACTGTGGTTACATGTTCTAATAATGTTATATTTAGTATCTGTTAATAAATTAACTCAATAGCCAAGACCTAAATGTTCACAGTAACTTAATACTACAGAAGTACAACATAGGAAAGGTTATTATAATAGAAATTCCACTTTAATATTTAAACTCAAATTTAATAAGTCTTGGGGGAAGAAAAACCTGACAATTAAAAGTAATTCTTTTTTTCAATATGAATAATATACACAAAGACTGGACATATTCTTAAATACATTTAGAATTTAAAATAAACAATATTTTCATAATTTCAAACAAAAAAGTCACAATCACAAAATACATTTTTAATAGCAGAAAATGTTCTTTTGAATATCTGAATTAGGACAATACAGTTATGAGCATATAACTCAAATAGTGGTTCAATAAAAATCAATTTAAAATCAAATTGTAGAAAACAAGAACTACACTAAAAAGACATTTGAGTACAAATATTTTGTGCAACATTTGTAAAAACATTTGTCAAAGTATTACTATTGTTATAAATTATACTAGCAAATTCACTTAAAAAAGAATAAAATATGTATATCAAAGAATGAAATGTATTTAAAGTAATTTAAAAAGAAAGTACTCAAAATTGTTTGACAATTGAAGACAATTCTACCAGTGGTTTTTGGTTTTGGTGCATAAAACTGTGAAAGAAACATTTAGAATACCAATAAAGAACTTTTCCTCCAACAAATTTTGTAGTGGCAAACATTATATAGAAAAACTTAAGTATGAAAAGTTCCTTTGATAGTGTTTACTTTTCCCTGCAAATATGCATAAATGTTATCTTTCAAAGAGTTTGAAATTTGATAACATACATGAACACAGAATACAACGCAACATTTGGTGACTTTATGACTCTAAATAGAATATTTCAAATTATTAGAGAAGATTTTAAAAAAAAACTAGTACTTTATGTATTTTTATGTTTAGGTGGATTTGTTATAGGACTAAATATATATTTTAATTTCACATTTAGATAGGTTCTTTCAATATAGCATTTAAAGCCATACCAGGCTATACAGGATAACTTCAAATTTTGTTCTAACTAAAAGATTCACATAAACTGAAATATATAGGATAACAACCATAAAGGATCTGAGCAAAAAGATTTTCTCTAAGATTAGATTAAATGTCTACTTTTATAGTTTGTGCTACATATAGACCACTAATTTTTTAATCCATTTTGAGCACTTTTTTTAATGCATTTTGAGCCTTTTAAACTACTTTCCAGTTATTTCTCTCTTACATGCAAAAACAAGCATTTAAATACCCAATCACCATTCTGCGTATATTTAAGACAAACTAATAGATGTACATAACAGATACTGCAGTGTCTAGAGCAGGTACTATTAAAAAGTTACCTGGTTTTCTTTCCTTAACCTATTTCTTATAGGAAAGATTTAGATTTCTTATCTAAACATCTCTGGGTCTACATTCATGTAGCCTGAAGTTAAGAATTTATATAAGAATTGTGTAAGACTGTTGAATCACAGATCTGTACTTCTGAAACAAATAACGCAACATATTTTAAGAAAAAAGAAAAAGAAGATAGCAGGAGAGGAAGAATGAAGGGGAGTAAGTCAGAGGGAGAGACGAACCAGGAGAGATGATGGACTCTGAAAAACAAACTGAGGTTTCTGGAGGGGAGGAGGGTGGGGGGATGGGTTAAGCCTGGTGATGTGTATTGAGGAGGGCACATTCTGCATGGAGCACTGGGTGTTATGCACAAACAATGAATCATGGAACAGTACATCAAAACAAATTATGTAATATATGGTGATTAACATAACAATAAAAAATTTTAAAAAAAGAATTTATATAAGGCCTACAACTGAAATAGTTAGATACAGAATTTTTTTTGTGAATGTCATTCACAGTGGGACTTTAAGAACAGATCCAGGAATAGTTTCCCAATTAAAGGAAACGATACCTAGCTCACGTGTCTGGCTCAGAGAGGTACTCAGTAAGAGCTGTTACCATTCTGGCTTATTTTTCATTAAAGATATACCATTATTTGATAAATAGGGATCACTATAATAGTAAGAATTAGTAAGAATACTTCCCATTGATGAACTAGTTAAGCAAAGCATTACACAAATGAGAGAAGACTAAAAAGGTAATTTTCTGTCAGAATTATACAAATAATCCAGTTTCAGATAATTCAGGAAATGCCACCTAATTAAATTTTAAATCTTATGTACATTAAATTTCTAATGTTTGGAAAATTTGAACATTACTTAAAACAAATGAGGACATTTTAATGACTTTAATCAGACATCTGAATATTCTATCAGGACTTCTCTTACAAAAAGGCAATTATCTTTTTTTCTAAAGGGCTCTATCATGTAAATTCACTAGACTTAAATTTGGATGGCTTAAATAAAGGTTGGTCATTTATTGAAGGTTGGTCATGGGGAATAAGATGAAGCCACCTGATTAACTATTTTAAAAATCAAACTTTTATTCTATGTATGAGGGAAAATGATTTGACATGTACATACATACACATATATAGCAGCAAAGTTCCTCTATTCTTCCAAATTTCAGGGTGACGAGACCTCACATTTCCCTAAAATAACTCTGTATAAGGTATTTTGATATATCTCACGTGATATACTGAGGTTCTAACTGTAAGTAAGTTTGAATGTTTGTAGCCATGTACTCATCAAAAAATAAAAAGCTTCAGCAACCAACCATGACAGGATATCTTGACATGATACATTCAACCAAAGCTCATTTTAATAGATCTTTAAATTCAGAAATCCATTAGTAATTTTATTTAATTTCAAAAGCAACACCGTTCCAATTAATAGTTCCCAATTAAAATAGACTATCTTTTCCCATTAGTTCACTAAAATGTTTGGCAGGTTAATAGGTAAGGAAGCAATCATCCTATTTCTGTGATAAAACATAAGGAGTAAAATGGTCTTGTTTACGGTCTCCTCTCCTCTTTAACCAGATCTTAGAGAAATCACCAATACATTTAAGTCACTAAGCAAATAAACTCCTGGTTTTACTTATAGATCTCCTTAAGAAGTCTATCTCCAGCTTACTAAAAATACAGGTAGAATAGTTTACCAACATACAAGATTATGAGTTTGAAAGCTTGAAGATTCTTTGCAAGTTTGATATTTTAAAGTTTTAATTTCATCAAAATTTAACATTTTAAGAAATAACACTGCATTTTGTCTTAAACTAGAAAAAAAAAATCTAATACTTCAGAAAACATTACCAGAAAATTAAGATCTTACTAGGTGACAATTATCTTCTGATTTTAGGATTTTTAAAATATGATAGAAAGGGTTATTTTATTCATGTGAATAGTAACAAAATGATTTTTTAAATTAAAAAAAAATTATTTATTTATTTATTTATTTTTTTAAATAGGTTCCATGCCCAGTGTGGAGCTTGAGCCCATGACTCTGAGATGAAGAGTCACATACTCTACCAACTGAGCCAGCCAGGAGCCACAGAAAATTATATTAAAGGGAGAAAATTCAATCCCCATACACTTCCCAAAGCAAATCTCTAATTAAGCTATTAATTAATTTTGGGTGAGCAAGGTCAAATTAATATATTAGGATATAATGACCCAGAAGTGATACCTTACTTTGTAAGGGCCTCTCCTTTTTCAAAGTTACAGGAAGCAAAAGGGAAAAGAAATAAAAGTCATAAAAGATAACAGTGATTTATATCATTCCTTTCTATAAAGGAATAGTTTTGTATAAAATTATAGAAGGTCATTTTAGGGAAAATGCAATGTACAAAAAGTTCATATCCCTTCCTTTGTTCATAGCAATGTCCTGAACTACTTAATTAATGCCATACCTCAAATTAAATTGCAGTTTATTTCATTAACAAGCCTACTTTTTCTTCTCTCTCTGGGAGGTAGGAAACATCCTGACAACTCTTGATTATCACAACTATTATCTGGGCAAATATAGGAAACAAAATAGAAAAGCTATTAACAGTGAGAATGGTTCTTAAATTACATCAATTTTATATATTGATACAAATAAGCTACATTTTCCTTAAATATATAGCCATCAGTTGCTAAACTATCATAATCACAAAAATAAGGATTACTTTTAATATATAGTCCAAACTCAACGTACATCCCACATTCTAATTAAGATACAGTGGAACAAAGGAAATAAGCCCACCAGTATTTACTTTTTGACATTAGCCTTGAAAATGGCAGCTACCATCAAGCTTCTTTGGAGTATTCTTCCTGGACTCTTCTTTACCCAAATCCCTATCTTCCCATTCACCTGACTGTCAAAATTGAGTAAATTCCAAACAGCACATAAAATAAGCCAGTCAAACCTGAAGGATGAGGCTGGGGGAGAATTCCCCCAGATTAGACAATATGATCCTAAGATGAGTTACACCTTTTACCCTAGAAAAAAAGAAATTCTGCCAGAATCCCTTATTTACTGTAAACTTTTTGGCGATTCCTGGAAGAAGGGAATTGAAATATTTATATATAGTGTCCTCATATAACAACATAAATGTCCTGGAAGGACAGGGTTGAGAAGCGAGGTTAGAAAACTTACAAGTTGAAAAATTCCAATGTGGTCAACTTGGGAAATGTATATCAATATTTACTAAATTTAAGTTGTCAGAACAAAAGTTTTTGATATGATTAGATCATGTTTAAAAGATGCTGATATAGGGAATTGTCAAATTCATGAAGCACTTGGGAGTAGGAATGGAAATATAAGCATATCTTCAAATGACCAACATTCAATTTGCCTGTATAATATATTTAAAAATATACTTAAATATGTTCTGAATCTATGCTTAAAATTACATTGACATCACAGTGGCAGTAGCAAAATATCACTGCACTGCATGGCAGTGACATTACAATATTTACTTGTTTTACAGTAACCACAGAATAGATTTAGGCAACAATCACAATGTCATAGTATAGTTTCACCATTCTGATATCATAACATCCTATTATAATTATATCTTGTCACAATATGGTTATATTAGGCTTGTCACAATCTGAGTCCAATTTTTTAGAATAACAATATAATCTGAATTACTTATATTTATGTGTATACACATTAGCAGCCAAATGTTTCACTTCCAAATAATGTTTTAATGAAAAACAAATGAACGGATTTGCTCTACAGAGCCATACAAAATAAAAAGTAATACAAAAATGCCATTAAGAACTTAACAACTAAAATACTTCTGGACATATTTATTATTCCAAATGTACTAACTCCTATTATAACAACCTCTTCTGTGCACTTTGAGAGTTAACTGTATACATGAAAAACATAGTTCAAAATATCCCCAAACTGATACCTATTCCAATTATCTTAAACGAACACCAATTTTTAGCATAAGCTTGTTACAGTCAAATACTAGTGTCCCTCACAAGCAAATTTGGAAGATTTTTATATTACAGTTCATGTTTATATCACTGTAGAAACACTTACGAAGGTGCTTTAGGTTAACTTTTTGGTGGGTGCTTTGACTCACTTAAATCATTAGTCTTAGGTTTGATAAATGCTTAAAGCCACTTCTAAAGAGTTCTCAAAAATTTGAAACAGCTGTAGCATAGTGCAGAACACTAAATTTGAAGCCTAAAGATCAGCCTACACTGTCTCTAGTTTTATGATTCTGTTCATGTCACTATATCTAAGTCTGTTTCTAGAGCTCACACATAAGTCATCCTACCCCTACCCCTTTCAATATCTCTCGTTCAGGTTTTTTTTCCTACACATTTCTCTTCCAACCAAGAACTTAATGAGAATCAACTATGTGCCAGGAACTGTGCTAGGCAAATTTTGTTATTCTAATAAGAAAATGAAGGTATAAATGTCAGAAATGTGACCTTTTCGTTTGAAGAGATTCAGGATCAAATGAATGAAGTTACATATCCCCATTGAATTAGGGGGAAAAAAAAACAGTAAGGACTAGGAACAGCTTCCAAACTTTAAGTTCAAATATAGGATGACACCAAGTAAAGCTCAACAGGGAAAAAAGCTGGGATAAATATTTGTTAACTAGATATTTTGGATCATTTGTTTTCAGTACCATGCAATTTAGGAAAGCAAGACTTGAAACAATTACGTGAAAATACTTAAATTTGTGTAGAAATAACCAGGATCCAGTTAAGAACATGATATAACAGAGGCAAGAAGCTGTGCTTTCTCACAGGTTGCTTGCCCTGTCAATTTCCTTTGCACTAAACCTATACGAAAAGTGTACCTTGAGGGGCAAAAATACAGAGAGAAATTTCAAGTGTAGTACAAGAACAAGCAATGGCATTTGTAATATTTTATGAAAGTGTACAAGACTTAACTGACACATATCACACACTATATAGAAGTTATGAAATATAAACATAGACCAATTTTAATGAAGCAACATTCTGATAGTAATTAACTAATTTACAAGCTCTATTAACACAGCAGCTCTGTCCTATCAATCTAATGTGGTCAATCTTTGCAATATAACAGTTATGAAACAAGCTATTCTTCAGCAGGCTTCTCATGAAAAATTGCAGAGATTATACAGGAAAGCCTAAGAACTGGACTTTTTTTCTCATTAAAATGTGAATTAACTTTAAACATATCGTTTGCAAGGTAACTCTAGGAAGCAAAATATACAGAGAAAAAATTAACAAAATATATACACATATATTTAACGCAGATACTGGTATGACCATCAGTATCAACAGTCTTTAACTACTTTGTACCCACATAATTCTTTAACATCCATTCTCTTAAACCCAAGAGTTTGTTTGAAGATTCAGAACCAGGAAATAAGCAGCCTGGCGGTGAAAGAGGGGAAGTTATTTTTTTCAGCATTTTCTAATGAAGCCCATCTCTCACAATGACACAAACTTTCGTAGGTTAGGCGAAACCACAAGCTACCTGGGGTTGGCAGAAGGGTGCAATCAGAGACCAGGAGGTGATCTTGGAGTTGAAGGCCAAACCGTCTCCAAATATTAATGATTCCCCCTTACTAGGTAGTATTTCTAGATAAAACCATGTAGGGATCCCGTTGTAACCTAGAAAAGGCTGGTGGGCCATAACCACAGTCGAAAGTGGGAGCAATAACAGCATTTAGGAGTCTCCATGCAACCTTTCCTCCCCTCCATCTCTATCAGATCGGACTATCCTCTCCAAGTCCGAAGGCTGAGGGGCCAGAGAGAAATATGAGGTTAGGGTGGCTTTCCTGGCAGGTGCCCTCCCTAAGTTTTCCCTCTCTTGAGCCCACATCTCCGTTCTGAACCGACCTAGGAGCTGGTCCAGGGCTGGGAGCCCGGTAGATACCAGCAGCTGTCCATTCCGCACCGACGGTCGTGTGCCCGCGATGGACACCAGTCGAGAACAGCCGCTGTCGGTACCGCTTGCTCTAGGACCCTTCCTCTGGAAACTGGTGACGTTGTTCTTGCTGGTTGTAGCCACTATAGATCTAGTACTCCCAGCGCCGGTGCCGCAGGTCGCCACTGCCGCCATCTTGGAGCTTCCCGCGTTGACCCAATAGGAACTCTGGGAACTCAAGCAGCCGGCCTGTCAGAGCCAGCCCCAAACACCCGCCTCCTTGCCCACGATCACCGTTCCCGTGGCCAATAGGATTGAGAGCTCTCCTCCGAGTCAACCAATCGCAAGGAGTATTGCTGAAAAGTGCGCTATACGTGGGTACGGCGGACTTCTGCTGGGCCCAGGTGAGAAAGGCCCACCTGAGTCCTGGGTGAGAGTGTTGCTTGGTTCTTTGGGGCTAGAGGTGGGTAAGATCATTTAACATTTTTCTCGTTTTGGGTGTCTTCATTCACGCAGAGTTAAAGAAGAGGCTAGTGGAGCGACATATCCAGTAACTACCAATGGGAACTTGCACCTTTCTTCGCTCCTTAGGAAAAAGGAAAGATACTTTCCCCCGCCCCTTTCTTTTCTGATTTCTGAGAGAAAATTCATTCCGCCTTTACCATCAGGTTTTTGTTTGTTTGTTTTGTTTTTTGTTTTTCTCGGAATGGTTGTGTTATATTGAAGAAATTGAAACTCTTACTAAGAGTTGCTTGCTGAGCATCTGGGCACAGTTCGACAGTTCAGTGGCAGGCAGGTGGGTTGGATTTAGACCTTAAGAGGGAAAACTTGAGCTTTGAGGCGATTTGGTTTTCCTGTCTCAAACAGCAAATGACAAAATGTACTTCTTTGACAAGTCCCCGTGAGAAGCTTTCGTTAATTTTAATTAGTGCTTCTGGAAGTCTTGGGGCGCGTTTTCATAAGTAGTGTGAATGACAAGTGTTACTCTGACAACCTTGTTCACACATTTAATTGTCATTTGCTGTTAAGGCAGCTGCAAAGAACAGAAGATACTTTAGGTCTCTTTCCCCCAAAAAACTGGTATCAGATGTGTATGTACTTTATTTTCCTAGTGATTTGTGAACTCTGAATTGAGAGCTTTTTTATTAGCATAGGAATTTTATGTGCGGAAAAAACATGTCATTTAGAGCTGTGTCTTTGGATTTAAAACTTTTTAAAAAAGAGCTGTGTGGAGGAGTAAGTGATTTTTAAAGGTATTCATGATTGACAAATGTCTAAAAACTCCCAAATCGTGCCTGCGCTACTGAATTACTGGTTTTGACAGTGATCTATGATATTTTAAAAATATATCTATCCAAACCTCATTGAAATTCTTGCCAGTGAATTGTTTTAAATTTCAGTGACTTGTTAAAACTTTTTGGCTGATTCTGTTTGATAAATTGCAATTAGTTTTGTGAAATAGTGGCTGGTGGGTTTTGTTTTTGTATTTAAAGTAAAGAAAATAAGACAAACCACCTTACTATTTAGCAATGTACCAACTGGAAAGCTTAATCAGGGTTTATATGCTTTCATTTAGAACCATTCCTCAGTATAAATTTGTAATCTAAATTATTCAATAAATAGCTGTTGAGTGCTTACTGTCTGCTTAGACCTAATGTGTCACTTTAGGCCTATAAAGTAAAAAATGTTCTCATTTGGGGGAGATAAGATTAACACATAGAAAACAGCATAGCGCTTAAAGTGAACACATTGGACAGTATGTGCTAATTTTTTCCTGCAGTGTATAAGTGCTGAGAAGATCAAAACAAAAAGGGACAAAACAATCTAACTTCAAATGGAAACTTCTTGGATATTTTTGCTGCTTGGAAAAATTTGAAATAGTAATGAAATTTTATAGGCTTCTTTACTACATATTCCCTTGTTTCCTCTCCATTTACTTTGTCCTTTAGTTTTCTAAAAGTGGTGGTATGATGCTTTGTTTATGGTATTACTAGAACTGAAGAATTTTTTTTCAACTTTATAATTCAGAAAGCATGCCATATATGCACAAGGCATTCTTGAAATGATGTATCTTTCGTATAACATTATCATAGAATAAATTTATTTAATCTGTCTTAATTTTTTTACAAAGACAAAACTTTTGCCTTCAAAGCAAATAATGCCAAATACTTGGATTTACAAGTATGTAGAGTTGAATATAAAACATTGGAATAAATGAGGTATTTGTGGAAAGGGTATGTTTAGGTGTGGTGTTAATAATGATTAAAAACAATTAATAATTGACAATTATTTACTGAGCACATACTAAATCCCAGGGAGTATGCTAAGCATTCAGGTTATAGGAGAAAGGATACTTAGTCTCTTTTTTCCTTGAGTTCATAGTTGGGGGAGGTAGGTGGGTAAATAGGATAATAAAGTATATTATAAGTGCTATGGAGGACATGCAGAATACCTAACTTGGACTGAGAGAAAGGAGAGAAGCCTTGGGAAGCTTCTCCTGAGGGGGACGTTTAACCTGTGTGATGAAGGAAGTGTAAAAGATGAGGGCATAAGAGACCATGGAAGCCATTACAGAGAACGGGGAGACTATTCCTTCAAATCTGCTCTCACTGCTTCTGTGCAAGTAGTTCTCATGATTTACACATAGTGCTAAGAAGAGACTGGAGAAGTTAGACAAAGGTCTAACTGATTTTTTTTTTAAGGCTGTGGCTCTTGTTTTTTTGTAAAAATAATAGGAAATGGGAAATTATTGAAAATTTTTAAGTAAAGCAACAACATAACGATCATATTTGATTGTTAGGTTTTGGCTAAGAGTTTACCAGAAGAGAATGGATTGGCTGACTGTGGTTGGGATAAAAAGCATGGAATGAATTAAGAGATTACTATGAGGAGTAGAACTGATGTGACCAAGGAAAGTTGACAGGAGGAATCAGAGATGACTAACAAATTTCTGAGCAGGTTTGTGGATGGCAGAGGATAAAGAATAAAGGAAAACAGAATTTTGTAGTTATGGTGTTGGTTATTTTAGGGAATGGGAGATGATAAAATGAGTTTTTGGAATCTGTTTTTGAATATGTTTTTTTTTTTAAGATTTTATTTATTTGACAGTGAGAGAGGGAACACAAGCAGGGGGAGTGGGAGAGGGAGAAGCAGGCTTTCTGCAAAGCAGGGAGCCCAGTGCGGGGCTCCATCCCAGGACCCTGAGATCATGACCTGAGCCGAAGGCAGTCGCTTACCGACTGAGCCACCCAGGTGCCCCTGTTTTGAATATGTTTAATTGGAGGTACCCTAGGAGCATCCAAGTAGAGATGTCCAATAGTACTGGGCTATGTGAGAGAGGGATCTGTAGATGAAACATACAGATTTGAAATTAATTAGTACATGATGGGAGTTTACCCCAAGGGATGGATAAACTCACCAAGGAAATGTATACTTTAAAATGAGAAGAAAGAAGGACCAAGAATAAACTTTGGGGAACATAACATTTAAAACCTGGGCAGAGAAAAAGAAAGTAAAATAAGAATTGGAAAGTGTTTATTTTATTTAGTAATACTGTTTTGCAGGCTTTGTTAAAGGAATATTTGATGGAGTAGTAAACTGAAAAGTCAAATAATTGTATTTAGAATTGAATGGCAAGTGAAGTTGAATATTCCATAAAAATAGACCACTTTACATTTTAGAAAGCTTTGCTATGAAGGGGGATAGAGGGAGATGACAAACATTTAAGGGAGGAGTTTTGTTGTTAAAGAGAGAAAACAAGGCACTGGAAAATAATTCTAGACAATTGTTAAAGAAAAGGACCTAAATGAGATAGAAGGAATGTCAATGGTAGCACAGGAGAAGGATCAGTATTTGAAAGGCTGGGGGGACAATTCAATGGCTAAACAGTATAAATGAAAATAAGCTTTTTTCTCTCCTTTCTGCCATTAAATCGTGGAGTCCTTAAGACCATTTTCTCTTTTTAGTCCATATCCTTACTTTTATCTGGTCCGATTACCTCAGTTACCATTTATATATCAATGACGAACATGTATAGTCCAGGTCACTTCTCTGTCCTCCAGAATTATAAATTCACATATTTACCAGTTTCTTGAAATTCTTAGAGGGGCTTCAAACTCAATGCCGCAGACTGAACTTCCTCTTGTGTTTTGTATCTCAGTGAATGATAGGACCGTTTTCCAGAATTAGTTGCCTAAGACAAGGAACCTCACTACCCTCAGGTCCTCTCTCAAGCATCATTCTTCCATTTCCGTTACATTACCAAGACCTATGGAGTTTACTTCTTAAGAGCTTTCTAATCCATTCTGAGACTATAGCCCTCATTTTAGTTCACCTGCAGTATATTCTTCATTCAAGAGCCATCCTAATCCTGTCAAAATAGAGGCCTGATAATATAAAAACAATACTTATTAAGCACTTGCATGTAGTTCCCTCCGTTTGCCTCTCTAGCCACATCACTCTGTAAATTTCCTCTCTGCACTCTAGCATTTACTTATTCTCTCATGTTCTCTTCCTCCAAAAGGCCACTAGTTAACTTCTGCTTAACTTTCAAATCTCAATTCAGCCTACACATTCTCAGTAAAGCCATTTCTCCTTGCTATCAAGATGAAATCAGCTCCAGGGCACCTGGGTGGCTCAGCTTGTTGAGTGCCTGACTCTTGATTTCGGCTCAGGTCATGATCTCAGGATTGTGAGATTGAGCCCTGTGTCAGGCTCCATGTCTGGCATGGAGCTTAAGATTCTCTCTCTTCCCTCTCCCTTTGCCCTTCCTGTCCCACACGTGTGCACACTTGCTCCCTTTCTCTCTCTCAAAAAAAAAAAAGAAAAGAAAAAAACCAGCTCCTATATATCAACAATGAATGAGTGGAATTGGAAATTAAAAACACAATGTCATTTACATTAGTATCCAAAAAATTAAATATTTAGGCATAAATCTAAAAAAAGATATGTACAAGATCTATGTAAGGAAAACTACAAAATACAAAATTCTAATGAACATAATCAAAGACTAAATAAATGGAAAGATATTCCATGTTTATGGATAGGAGACTCAGTGTCAAGATGTCAGTCTTCCCAAATTGATCTATAGACTCAAATGCCATCCCAATCAAAATCCCAGGAAACTATTTTATGAATATTGACAAGCTGATTTTGAAGTTTATATGGAGAGGGAGGCAAAAGACCCAGAATAGCAAACACAATATTGAAGGAAAAGAACAAAGTTGGAGAATTGAAACTACCTGACTTCCAAGACTTACTTAAAGCCACAGTAATTAAGACAGTGTGGTATTGGAAAAAGAATAGACAAATAGATCAGTGGAACATAATAGAGTACCCAGAAATAGATTCACATAATCTACTGATCTTTGACAAATGAGCAAAGACAACACAATGAAGCAAAGACAGTCTTTTCAGCAAATGGTGCTGGAACAACATACACATGGCAAAGAAAAAAAAGAGAAA